CTGAGAAATATGATGTGAAACAATGACAAACAGGAGTATGGTTGATTCACTAGTGGGTCACTCAGAACCTCACAGCTACCCTCACTGAGAATGTTACAATGCACACCATTTCTCTTAGGACGTTTCTTTGGCCTGATCTTTTAGAAACTGGTTTTTCACTTTGTGCTGTCCGACATTGTGGACACTAGTCACATGTAGCTGTTAAAATGTAAATTAATTAAAATTCAATACAATTTCAAATTCAGTTGTTCAGCCATAGTGGGTGGCCACATTTCAGGTGGCCACTAGCTACATATATCTGGAAGTTACCAAATTAGAAGAACATTTATATCACCTCAGTATTTAAAGCAATGAACAATGATGCTCTAGCTATCAGTGTCAGATTTGTAGTGAGATTAGGGATCTTGTATGTAAGATCACTTACTTTCACAACCTCTAACCAAGAACACTATACCCACGTCTAAAAATGCATACAGATAGACAGACATGTGTGCATATAAAAAGGAGCATGTCATGCTTTGTGTAAATTCTATTCATATTTAAAAAGTAATCATGTCCACTTTTGATCTCTCTTTTGGAGGATGTTATTTATTGTAAGACATCATTGTTATTAAATACACTGTAGTACAAGAGACTTTCCATGTCAGGTTGAGAGAAGCTGGTCACATGATTTACAAACAAACTTTTTTTTTAAACACTGTATTCAGGTGTCACTTTGAAATCAGCCAAGATGCAGTGGGTCTTAGTAAAGCAATGAACCTCAAAACATTGCAAAACAAGAACTGGTAAGTATTGGCACAGAGACGGCACATTGAAAGAAAAATAAACCAAAGAAAAGATAGAGAGTTCCAATACCAGGTCACCATTTCAGGGGAAATATATCTGCAGAGAGATATTGAATTCGTTGTATATGGCCTGGAAATATACAAACATCTCTTCAGATACAGAAGCAAGTGCAGAGTGCCCACACCTTTAGGCAAGTTTGTAAGTCATAGAAATGATCAAGGAATGCAGGGGCAATATTTCACCATAATTTAGTCATTTATCAAGGAATTACATATTTGAAATTCACATTTAATTCAGAGACCTTGCATTTAATATATTTCCAGCTGTTTTATACATTTTTAAGCAATAGTAAAATGTACAAGCTGCAAGATGTAGGCTCAACATTACATTTCATTTTCTTCATTTTTTTTCTTGTTCAAACACGTGGCTACTAGCAGCTTTTATGATTATGCTTGCTCTAGTTTGTTGAGCATTCAGTCAACCTTCACTCAGCATCATTATTTTACTACTGTACAGACCAAAGAAATCAAAAAACATGGACCTGGGCTAGAACGCATAGACTGAAACTGACATTCCCATCTATTCCCATTTCGTCTCCTGAGACGTATGTTAAGATGGCAAAGTAGTTGCTGGGTTGTGGTCATGAGATTCACAGTGTTTTGCCTGCAACACATATACATAGACATATTTTTTTGCTTTGCTTTATGTTTGTGATGAATGGAGCAAAAGTATATATATAAATAAATAAACAAACAAATAAATAAATAAATAAATGCCAAAGGAAAAGCAGGAAGGTTTGCAAAAACTAAGTGTATTCAAGAAACTTTGACTTTAGCAGCAGTGATTCATTCCAGCCCTGACAATAAGAAAACATTCCTTCCTGCATTGTCACTTCTAATTGTAAATCCCTCCCATCCCCATCTCATTATAATAACATTTGAAATTCATATACAAGCTATCACAACCTGAGTCTCTACATTCCAATTACACATAGCAAAGAATTGGCTTTATCTGCTAACTTTATGTATAGGAAGTTGGGTCACTAGCCATTTCTTTCATGAGATTTCCTGTAACAGTGATATACAAGGCCAAAGCAAAGGTAGGATTGGAAAAAAAAGTACTCAAATAGGGGAGAAAAAAATGGGGTAGTAAGAGAATCAGGTATATGTGTGTCTATTCAGTCATTTTTAAAAATTAGACACAATTTAGTGTTTTTTGGTATTAGAGGCTGTCCACTTTTCAAAAAGAAATGTTATGAAAAGTCCATTCTTGACCAGGGAATCCTGCTGACTGCTTTTCAAAGGACAACACTCCATCCCATTGGTTCATACTTTCACACTTGAATGAAGGAATCCCGAAGTGTTGCTCATCTTGCTGTGGAGTCATAGGCTTCTCATCATTGACTTTCAAGACACTGGTCTCCCAATGTTCCAATTTACATCTGGAAAACTTGCACTCTGACTCATGTGTAAATAAAGGGGTCACAGTAGGACAAAGTGAGCAAAAGTGTGCAAGAAGAAAAAATTCAATTTTCCTTTCCTGGACTTTTACATAAGGAGGTCTATTTCAGTCTGCATTTTCCTTTGCAAGGAGCCAGGGAAAGGACTTGAAGTGGGATGGCTTTCATTCAATTGTTTTGGGAAATCATTATCTCAGGTATGCCGTCTATCCATGCAGTGCTGCACAGGGTTGAAAAGGGCATTGTAGCGCCACCCACATGGAGAATGAAAACGCTAATTGCCAAAGGACATTAAAAAATTTTGGTTATTTAGCAGATTTTAAACAAATTATTCATACTGCACCCTACTTATAATTATCTCTATTACTGTGTGCCTATATATTTATACATAAACACACAAACACACTATGATGTGCATTTGTATATGTATAAATCAAGTATTTATAACATATATATAAATACATGAAAATACCACAAGGAGCGCTGATGTGAACACATGTATATTATAAATTCTAATATAATCCTTGAGAGCAGAGTTCAAAGTGTTTTCTAAATAAGTCTGATTATGACATTGGTTCAGTGTACAAGGATTTAGCTGAAGGTAAGAGCATGATTATACATACCACACTATCTCAGCTGCCTTGCCATCTAATATATTTCCTTTTGCTCGTCTAACTTCATATCCTACTTCATGAGTTTGTTACCATGCTTTACTTCCTGAAATGCTTGTTTGTATATTAGCATCTCTAGTGGACAGAATCATGAGCTTATAAAGTCAGAGTACTTGGATGAAGCCAGCCGGTATTGGAACCTAGGCTGGAGACTTCTAACATGCCTATGAACTTCTCAGAATCTCAATTTCCTCACCTATAAAAATAGGAATCGATTGCAAACACATGCAAAAAGTGTATGGGAAACTATTAAACAATTTATAAGTGGAGATGATTGTCAGTCTGGATTCAGGTTAGAGAATTAAGTTTGCCACTGCTATTGTCCTAGCTTTAATATATTTGATGGCAGGTCATATTTGGTGATATACTGATCACATTTTAGATGGAGGATGTTGACTTTTAAAAATTAGAAGACCATGAGAAAGGTGGTGGTAGAAGACCTGTGATGAATATTTCAAGACATTCTGTGGCTCACTCAACTATTTTAAAACAATCTGATGTTCTTTCAATTCAAGACATCTCTGAAACCAGCACATACTCTTGAGACAACAGAGGGAATAATAATAATAATCAATAGAAATAACTATAAAACTTTGCACTTGCATAGAAACATTCATTTGAAGACCTTAAAGGACTTGTCAAAAGGTGTAAGGATTTATTTTCTTTTTTTCCTGCAGAGGAAAACACAAAATTGGAATGGAATGCTCCCATCTTTCATCTAGAACTGCACATCCCTCCTTAAATTTGACCCCTTAAAGTACTGTTTCCTTTGCTCTCTGTTAAAATAAATAATTTGCAGCTTTTTCTCCCAGAGCAGAGTAGCAGACACAGCAAGTGACAAACCTGTGTATTTTCAGGTCATTGCTAATGGAATCTAGAAGAGTTTGTACAAATCTGCCCCTTCCTTCCTGCTTCAGAGTTCCACAGTGTTTAAACAGTACCAAGGGTCCTTAGTATGATATATACTTGTGTATATATCATGGAGATATGGCTTTCATTATATTATTATGTATATTCTGGAGGGGTTTGTTTTCATCAACAAAGAGAACAAATAACTCGACTCCTATCTCTCGTAGGCCAGTGCAGAACCTGAAGGGACAATGTGGCTCATCTTGTCCACCCCCTTCACTTGGCCACAGATGCTACTGGATTCCCTTTAGTTCTCTATTAATTTATACTTTTGAGTTTTTGAGAACTGGCTTTCAAAGCCTATAATGGAAACTAAGGTGCTCCAGTAATTAAGAGGCACAAGCAAAACCTAACCAGAGCTCTTGCACCCTTAGAAACAAATACTAAATAAATGAACTAAGATGAATTAAAATCGCTCCCTTTCAATCTGGCTCATGTTACAAAGATGTCAAGTTTAGCAAAGTTCCCCTCACAGAGGGTAGCAAGTTTTCTTGAGGAACAGAAACATTTTTCTCCCATAATATAACTGACTAGCCAAATAACTGTAAATTTCTATTGAATATCACCAATGACTATGTCCAGAAACACATCTCCATGCTCAGTCTGGGCACAGCCTCCCATTGGCATGCTGTGCCAATTTTTTTGTTTTTACTTTATTTAATGGAGTGAAGAAATAAATAGCATATTTACAAGGGAGTACATTTGAAATGAAACCACTCTCCCAAGCAGAGCCCAAGAGACCTGGCCTGTGTACACTGAACATGAATGCATGTGATGTCCCTGGGTGAGGTTTCCTTTTCCCTTGGGGATGGACTGTGGGTTTGATGTGGATGAAGATATCCAGGCTTCAGGGTCCTTATTTGGTAAAACCCATCGCCATTGACCTACAGTGCAGAGACATTGATTCTCAGCTAGTGAACTCCATTATTGTCCCTTAGTTATATAAGTTAGACCTTTTATGGATCTGCTTTACCTGTCAGGGCATGCCATCTGGAGCAGTAGTTTCTGCACACAAGGTATTAATCGACGAAGACCATGCACAATTTTGCTTGCACAGTTAAAAGAATGGGTGGGAGTGGAGGGTAGGGGCTGGAGGGAGTTGCTATCTGAAAAGTTCAATGTAAGAGAAACTTGCCTCCAAATTGAGAATTTGTCCTAACTTTTCCCAAGTCCTTGGCTTTTCCATCTGAACCTGAAATGATCTGTGGGCAAGAATCCAACTCTTTTCAACTGAACATATAAAATGTTGGTAGCTAACACTTGAGAAACACACCAATGCTGTCACTATGACCAACCAAGATAATACTGTGAGCATCTGATGAGTCATCTTGTGTCCCGTGGAAGCCATCTTTTCTTTCTATTGCACACCAGTGTTTCTGGTGATGGGAAAAGAGTAGTCCACGGCACAGAGGTCAACAGTCTTTTTACTCCTCAGAAAGGTCCTCAGGGGGAGGTGCAGAATACATTCCTCCCAGATAACAGTTGCTGGGTTTTTCCTAAGTAGGGCCTGACGCCGGCTGATCTCAATGGTTGTCTTTGTTTCTCCTGTACTGTATAGTTTATTATAAATCTTCTCTCTCTATGGTTTTAATCTCCCATAGATAAAGTTTTCCCAGATCGAACGCAAGTTTTCCTTTTCATACACAGCATTAAGTCATCCAAAAACAATAAGAAGAGTAATAATAATAAATAAATAGAAGTGAATCCATAGAAACTCTCAATGTCTGTACAGCAGAAGTGACAAAGTTTAAGTCAAATATTTGTTTTCCCTTTTTTTCATCCACATCAAAGGCAGGAATACAACAAGGCATTGTTAGTTATGGTGGGCAAACCAGAGTGTCTGCTGATATAACAAATTAGGTTTGTTAAGGCCTTTGTCTATGCAGAGTTAATAATAATACAGAAGCCAGATTGATCAAAAGGAGAGAGTAAAGGACTGTGAAGCGGGAAAGACCAAAAAAAAAGGAAAGAAAAAGAGAAAAATAAAGGAAGCAACAAAGGGAGGTGGGAAGAGAGAAAAAGATAATGCCAAAAAAAACAAAAGAGGTCAATACTGTGTCTGTGGATGGAGAAGTACACATTGCTTCCCTCTGAAAGCGTCTCGCTGTCTTGTTGTTAACGCTGTCAGCGTGAAGGACAGCAGTGTCATGACGTCCAGCGGCAGTTAAAAGATGTCCGTCCTTTCGGTGCGTCTGAGGAGCTCGTTGGGAAGGATCGGGTCTGGGGAAAAGGCCCTAGCCTAGAATATCCAGGTAGACAGGAGACGCCTTGGCCAAGTTCTGAAGAAGGGTGTGGATGCCCTTGATGTTCTTCCTCATGTGGGGCTCTCGCTGCCAGCACCCCAGCATCAGCTCGTACACCTCCTGGGGGCACGTGCGAGGTCGCTGCAAGACTCGGCCCTGAGTGATGCATTCTATCACCTGGGCAGAAATCAAAGATGAGATCAGATAGGAGGAAAAGCCATGCAGATAAAGCAAAAGGCAGTGTGCAAAGAGGAGACATGGGAGGGTCTTTTTCTCTTTTCAACTTTATTTTAATTCGTTTACAATAGTTGTTAACTATTTATGGGGTGTACCATGATAATTGGATAAATGTACTGATGTGTAGTGACCACATCAGAGTAATTAGCATTTCTGTTTCCTTAAACATGTATCATGTCTTTGTGTTGGGAACCTCCGAACTCCTCTCTTTTAGCACTTGGTAAAATATTGGTGTCTGAATAATACTCCACTATGTGGCAATATCAATCTCTATTAAAGGACAGTTGATTGATTTTCTTTTAAAACTCCTCTCTTGTAGTTCTTTATAAAACACATACTAAGTAGTATAAAGTATAGTCACCTTACTGCTCTGGAGAGCATTAGAATTTATTACCCCTGTGAAACTGCTTTGGTATTCATTATCCAGTTCTCTCTATCCCCTCACCCTTCTGCCCTTCCTGACCTCTAAGGCATATTTTTTTTAGACAGAGTCTTATCATGTAGCCCAGATTGGCCTCTAACTCATTCTGTAGCTCAGGCTGGACTTGATTTCAAGATCCTTTTGCCTCAGACTCCAGAGTGCTGGGGACTAAAGGCATGTACCACCATGCCTGCCTTGAGAGAGGGCTTTTTAAAAAGTTCACTCACATTTTTTTTCTCACCAAGAAGAGAATTATTCTAGGTTGGTTTATATCATGGTTAATCTGGTTGGTTTACATTTACCTCTCAAGCCACTCTGACTTTCCACAACTGCTGGGCAAATCATTTATTTATGCATAAATACTCCTAAACCCCACAGGGTAAGTCTTATATCCTTTAGGGTTTTTTAGCCTGGGATGGAATGTGAATCATTTTGTGTTAAAATGCTGAATGACAGGGAACCCCAGGTTACAGAAATAAGCAGGAACATTGATTAACGGAATTGGAAGTCTGACAAAGATGTGAGATGCCCAACCAAGATGTTGTGCCTCAAATACACACAATCCACTTTCAGTATCTGTGGTCTGGACATCTGTGGATTCAACCAACACAGACTGAAAATATTTGGAAAAAAATGCATCTAAACTGAATACAAGTAGACTTTTTTACTTGCCATTATTCTCTAAACAATACAGTATATGAAACTATTTGCATTTCATTTGTATTATAGGAGGTGTTATAAGTAAGCTACAGGTAACAAAGTGTAAGAGAATATGTGCCTAAGTTACATGGAAGTACTAAGCCATTCCACATGAGGGATTTGAGCATTCTAAATTTTGATATTCAAGGTGGGGTTGGGGGATCGTGGAACAAACTCCATATGGATGCCAAGGGATGATTAGATTTGCTAAAGGATTCCAGGAGGAAAATGAAATGCTTAAAAATTTTTACTAGTAGTAATGTCCTAGTGAAATGTGCAAAAAGGAAAACACCTTGCAACTTCACCTTGAAACTACACCAGAAACCTTGCAGGATTCCCAGAATGCTGGAATTCCATATGCTAGCTATTAACTTATTAGATGAGCAGCACCTAGTCCTTAGAGGAGCAAGGATGGATTAGCAAACATTGTGCTTTTCTTTCTCCAAAATTCTTTGAATGTTAGGTGTGACTATACTTTGGCCATGAAAGTTAGGTACACAGCAGGCTTTATGGGAAGTGCTGTTGCCACCAACAAAGACTCATAAGATCATTTCCAGCAAAGGATGTCTCTGAGATTTCAGCTCCCAACCCTGTGGGGGTCTCTCCCAACCCACTGCACACCTCATTGTTTGACAGCTGGTACCAGGGCTGCTTGCCATAGGTGAAGATCTCCCACAACACGACCCCCAGGCTCCAGACATCACTCTCGGTGGTGAATTTCCTGTACATTATGCTCTCTGGAGGCATCCAGCGAATGGGCAGCATCGTGTGACCACCGACCTGGCAGGAAAGGAATCAACAAGGTGCATCAGTCACCCCAGAACCATGTGTGGAATAGAGCTGAGGGGAGTGGTTTTCCTTCATTATCTGTGCTTATTAATTTTCATTGTTTGGAAACACATAAGGAGTATGTGATTTCTTTATCATCTCAAGCCTCACAAATAAAAGACTAATAATGGTCAAAACAACTTATTTCTCTCTCTCTTCCTCTCGCTCCCTCTCTCTCTCTCTCTCCCTCCTCCCTTTCTCTTTTCCTCTTTCTTTCTCTCTCTTCCTCTCTCCCCCTTCTCTCTCTCCCCCCTCTCTCTTTCTCTCTCTACCCCCTCTCTCACCCTTCTCCCTTTCCTCCTCTCTCCACCCCTCTTCTCTCTACCCCCCTCTCTACCCCCCTATCTGCCCTCTCTTCTCCCCCCTCCATCCTTCTCTCTCTCTACCCCTTCTCTCATCCCCTCCCCCCTCTCTCTACCCCCTCTCTCCCTCCCCCAACCCCACCTCTGTCTTCCCCCTCCCTCCTCCCCCACCTTTCTTTCTCACCCTCTCCCTGCTCTCTCCCACCATCCCCCCCTCCCTTTCTCCCTCCCTCCCCCCATCTCCCTCCTCCTCCCCCCTTCTCTCTTTCCTTCTCCCTCTCCCTCTCTTCCTTTTGTGGCACTGGAGATTGAACTCAGGGCCTTGCACTTGCTAGGCAAACACTTTATCACTTGAGTCAAGTCCCTTTCACTGTTAGTTTATTTTTCACATAAAGTCTCATACAAAAGCAATTGGCCTTGGACCACTATCCTCCCATCTCTGCCTATTTAGTAGCTGGGAATACAGGCATGAACAACAATACCTACTGCAATAATTTCTTTGTATGATTTGCAATTCCCTTTTAAAACCAGATAGGAGCAGAGATGAGACTTGTTGGATGCTGTTCATCTTGAATTAAAAGAAGCACACATATACTGTTAAGAGGATTGCCCAACCTTCTAATTAACAAGATAACTTTGACCAATATAACTGTAAGGGGCCCTTCATTCCAAATGACCTACCAGTATCTCTACTTCCTGGACAAGGCCACAGCTTCCTTCCACTTTAAGGTATTATATGTGTACAGTGATGGCTAAACTATACTTACTACAACCTAGCAGGGTCCAAAAAAGAAGTTGTTATTTCCATTTTACAAGCAAAAAAAAACTGAGGTGCATGTTGCATGCTGCATTGAGGTATAGGTCTTTGGACTCCAAATTTAGGACTCTCCTCTACTACAGGGCACTGCTACTTAGCTTATTTGCAACAACAAATAAATGCATTCTTTACATGCATGCCCATTGTACTGAAAGTATGGGCAAGGCATCAGCTGGCAATAATATTAGCACAGGCAAAGAGAACCTTGATTGACAAAGACTTGGTTGTGATTTTCTATTTCATAAAGGAAAAGATATCCTCTTCAGGCTTGTAGCACATCAGGCTGTCTGATTTTAAAACTGTGAATTGATCTCTACACAGTAGCCCTATGAGCTATGGGTCCCATTACTCATTCTGGTAATCCCTGGACACCAGCAGGCTACAGGATACCCCAACACACCACAGCACACATGCTGGACTACAGCAGGACTTCAACAGTAACTCTCAGCCCTGACTGTTCAGCCTAATGCTACGCAGTTTCTGCCCAGTTCTAACTCTCAATATCCATTTGTGACTTATTACAGGAGGAAATAAACTAACAGTGCCTAAGAAATGCTTCTTCATCCTGGAGCCTGAGGAGCTGAAGTGGCAGAGTTGTCCAATATGCTTTGTGATTTCAGATGATGCTCTAAGTATCAAGGAAAGCACAGGCTACGAGAAGAGGAGATTTTCACTGTCCATCTTCTCTGCGCAATGAGGCCAAATGACAGGAACAGACATCACTTGATGGCTTAGGGTTATGATGCCCCATATTTTACTCTTCAGTTTTTAATAAACCCAATGCTCAGAAAGACCAAGGTGGGCCTTGATCCATGTTAGATTTCCTTGCTCCTTCTCCCTCAACAGCAGTGACAGGATTCAGTATGGAACGAACACACACTTTTCTCGTGGACCTGCCTGACATGTCTGAAGGTGGTGGCAACAGTCCCTTTCAGGGATAAGTTTCAAACTTGGCCCAGGCACTGATCAAAGGAAGCAGGTGGAATATGGAGAATTTCTGGCCATGTGACTATTCATCCTGTTCACAACACTGTGACCTCTGTGTGCCCAGGACTTTGGCACAGGAAGCTGCTCATATACACGGGGGAGCCAATGTTTTCAGATGCTTAGAAGGACTCATTGTCTGATTGTGTAATGACCCCACCAGTTCTTGGCAGCCTCCACAACAGCACCAAGGGAGGACTGCTCTTTGACCAGTTAGGGATTCATTTTACCACTGCACGGAATGGGGTATACCTTCCCTCTGTCATATGCCAGCAAAGGCTGGGCACACTAACACACTCATTTCCAAAGGTTGTTAACCCTTGGAATGTAGCATTTCCAGTCTCCTTGCCCATTCTCTGAAACCATACCTGCAAATCTATATATAGTTTACAAAACATCTGTCCACAGCTCCGTTAATTTCATGAACATACCCAGATTCGTGATGGCATCTCTGGTCTACAGATGATGAAATTGTTTCCACCAGATATAGGACTTTGCCTAAGATAACACTTCTGGACACATGGTAGAGATAGGACTGAGGTCTAGATGTTCTTACAGACCATTTTCATCCACATAGAGAGCATTTAGTTAGGACATAGTAAGGCCCAAAACAGGGCATTGGCCTGCTTGACTACTACACACCAGCAAGGATGGAACAAAATCAAATGGAAAAGTACCCCTGCTCCTATGGATCTGAGCCTTACTTTGCCTATTGTAACCTTTTCCTTCCTTTTTAGGGAACAGCCCCTATCCCATGGTTCATCACAGCAGTTGTAAGGGTGTAAATAGCTTAGTTGTGCATTTTGTTGCCACTGTTTTTTTCCCAGATAAAATAGACCCCTACTGGTCAAAGTGAATTAGAAAGCCCTTCTTCTCCCAAAGAGGACTGTGACTTTGTCTTCTTGTTGTGCTGTTTATATTTCCATGAAGGGGAGTTTCTTGGACAAGTGCCTGTGTCTGCTAATCTTTCTCCAAGTGTTTAGGACTTAAGAGAGGCATTACTCTTTAAGAATCAATTACTTCTTACACAGACTCTTTCTGCAAGAGCTGTTTATAAATGTGACACCACAAATTGTACAGAAATTCCAAAAAGATAAAAATCTGACAAAGGGTAGGCAACTACATGGAGAGAGGATTTCAGCTCAGAGTTAACATGGAGCAAGAGGGCCAGGGTTTTAGTGAAGAAGATATCATTATTTCTTTCATGGAAATACTGAAAAAGAGTCCAGATTGTGATCCATAAACAATTGAAGTGTGAGGATAGCAAGAGGACTTTGGGGTGACTAGAGAACTAGGTAGGGGCCAAGGTGGCAGTTTTTTTGTATACCAGTCCCTTAGAATTTAACAGCTAGCACTCCCCAAAAGTCCCTAGGTTCGATGTGTCATATATACTATAAATTGTAACCCTCTTTACTTTTTGAAGAGTCATAATGCATTGGGCCAATATTGAAGTACCTAAGGAGTTCAACAGGTAAGAAGAGATTTAACATTTCTTGGTTTGAGTGGGACTAGGGTTTGAATTCAGAGCTTCATGCTTACAAGACAGGTGCTCTGACATTGAGCCACACCTCTGGTTCATTTTGCTCTGGATATTTAGGAGCTGGTGTGTGTATGGGGGTTGTCTCATGAACTATTTGCCTGGGCTGGTCTTGAACTGTGATCCTCTTAATCTCAGCCTCCCAAGTGGCTAGGATTTACAGGCATGAGCTACTGGCACCCAGCAAAATTTAATTTTAACTTAGTAAATTAAACTAATCTGAGTATGTGTTTGTGGAAAAGAGAGAACTGTTTTGATGGGGCTGCTAGAACCAGACAGCTAAAAACAGACCCGGTTGTGATAATGCAGAAAGACACCAGACTTTCCATACCTATTCGTGCATCCACAATGGCATGCAGTGTCCAACACCAGTCTGTGATATTATAAACTTTGGGTTTCAATATGGCATCTATCTGTCTCCTAGTGGGTAACCTTGACCAGTTGCCACACCTCTCTGTGCTCTGGTTTCTCCAACAATAAATTGTGGGTAACAATATGTACTTCCCCAGGTTGTCATGAGGTAAATATTCAAGCTCACACATTTCTGAAGGTGAATCACACTTAGCAGTCATTCTGAAGACATTAGAGGGAAGAATCAATACATAGGACTCTTCTGCACTTCTCCCTTGGCAATGGCCACATAGTTCCTTTGGTTGCACCCACACACAACTCATGTATCAGGCTTTTTGTCCTATATTGCTAATAGCCAGAGAAAAAGCTCCTGTTTCCTCTGAAGGAGAAAGAAAAAAAGAGATTCACATTTCGATTTACATGTTTTCCCATCTGATCATTTATTTTCTGCTTGCGGTCTCTTTGGGGCAGATTTTTTCACTTTAATTCTTTCAAGAATCTCTTCAGAGATTTTACACATGTTATAAATAATGCTTTCCTTGTTCTGATGTCAAACGGGTGAGTGGTAGGACAATCTAATAAAAGTTCAGGCAGGGTTCATAAGTTTTCTAATCCATTAGAACTTTTCTGAACATTTCTGTGCAGTCCTTTCCTTAGGATTTTGGAATATGTCACAAAGGTAGACCCCCTAAAAAGAGTCACTGTTATTATAAATTACTGTCACATTCTCATCACAGACACTTAATGGCTTTTGGGCCATACAAAACCACACACTCTGCAGCCACAAACACAAGGAGACATTTGTTTTGTGCTGTGCTACTTGGCAAATTGCCCTCACTCTCTTGCTTGTGAGATGGAATGCAATCCCAACGATGACACTGGGAGTCAGAATTTCTGCCTCTGACGGCTCAATAGGCAGCACTGCCTCAGGGACTCTCCAGTGGGCAAGTTGGGGCAGGCT